ACCACCCAGGAGTACTGAACCCCGGGGCGTGGCATCCTGGTTCAACCTGGCTCATGTCACACCACCTCAGTGGAATTGTTCAAAGACTGAGCAGAGAACAAACCCACCCCGAGAGGGAGAGAAAGAGAATAATGGGGCTGAGAACTCTGTGATCTCAGAATAGATGGAGAGTTTGGGAATAAATGACTCAACTGGAACCATCAGAACAAGGCCAAGCTCTGAGAACTTCCCAGGCCAGTTTCTACACACAAAAAAATCCCTTGCAGACAACACAAGAGGATGCCCCGGGAAAAGAAGCGAAGATAAAATGTCCTGCCAACAGAGCAGAGCCATTTGGAGGCTTCAAGAAGACACTGGATTGGTCAACAGCCACTGTGGAATACCCGAATCACAGGCTGGGCAGGCAGCAGTGAAATGCACAGTCTGTGTTGTAATCTATAGGTGGTTTACGTTTAGTCACTATGTTGTGTCTGACTCTTTTGCGACCCCATGGACTGTGGCCCACCAGGCTCCTTCTGTCCCAGACCAGAATACTGGAGTGGGTGGCCATTTCCTTCTCCAGGGGATCTTCCTGACCCAGAAATCAAACCCACATCTCCTGTGGATTCTTTACCACTGAGCCACTAGAAAAGCCCACACAATATAAAGGTACCAACACTTAAAGATACACGCTAGAATGAGACACAGAGCCTGGAGAAAAGGTATTCGAGCTGTAGTTTGAAATACTAAAGAAAATATTATACAAAGAGATGAACCTGGAGATTTAAAAGTAAAGATTATTGAGAGTTTGAGCAAACTCTCAATTACTTCATTGGATTTTGGTCTTAGATCAAGCCTGAGCAGGTAGAGAACAGAAGAAAATGTATCTCAGACTCCAAACCACCTGGGAAAAGGTATGCAGAAAGACTTCTACTTAAGGAAGGAACAGACTACAATACAGACAACTGCACACATTCCACAAACGAACAATGAGAAGCATTTATGGTGGAGCACTGGTTTCCAACTTCAAGCTCTATAATTGGCCCAGGGCTTCAGAAATCCAGAATTCCTTTGCTGATGCAGTTAGTTTCAAAAGAAAAGCCTGAGGTATCAAGGAGATATAAGAACAGAGAAGACAGTCTCTTAAGACCTCAATCTCAAATCCTGGTGGCCAACACAAAGGGAGGCTGAGGTGCCGGTGAATGCTCTGAAGCAGCAGGCATCGGTGAGCACCAAGCTGCCCCTCAGCAGGGAGCGGGGAGGCTGCAGCAAAGTCAGTGCTCCCCACTGAAACCCTCAGGCCCCTCTACACCTGGCCCACACTAACAGGGACTCACGCACACCAGTAAGCACAACCCTCATCAGTACCTCCAGGATTTCTGCTGTGAAGTGCCCACCTAGGGGCCCTTGAACTTGTCCACCACAACTGTGGGCAGCATAACCAAAATATAAACTGACAAAGAGGTATCATGCCACGCGCCCTCTTGGACACCGTCATTTTGCAGACACCACAGCACTACCTGGCTCACGCTCCATAACCACAACACTACCTGGCTCACGCTCCATAACCACAACACAGGCAACCACTGGCTTGAGAGGGACCACACATGAGAGCTGTGAGTGGCTCACTCTAGAGTTATGGGGTATACTGTATTTAGTCACTAAGTTGTGTCTGACTCTTGTGACCTCAGAGACTGGGTCTGCCAGGCTCCTCTGTCCATGGGATTTCCCACATAAGAATACTGGAGGGGGTTACCATTCCCTTTTCCAGGGGATCTTCCCAACCCATGGACTGAACCCGCATCTCCTGCACTGGTAGGCGTATTCTTTTCCACTGTTAGAAATGACTTAAGTAACTGGTCCCAATTTACCCACCAGAGGAGGGAAGGCCCACTATCTCCCTTTGAGAGGGTTCAAAGGGTTCCAAGAGGGGAAGACTGCAGTAGAACCAGTCATCCTCCTTTCTCTGTGCACCCTCTGAATCCTGGCAGCTCCAAAGCTAAAAGAGCAAAAATGGACTTGAAGAATACATCTCAAGGCTAGATAACCGTTTTCTCCATTAACACAATAAGGAACAGAATTAAGCTAGCAAGCAGCAAACCTCTGCTGCAGTTCAGATTGTTTTTTCAGATTGCTCATTGTTTTTCAAATGCTCCCCCAAGAAGCTATAACACTGAGAGAGTCCTCTGCCCCGCCCAGCAGCAAGGCATCCTGAAGAGCAGACTCGGAAGGAAGGAGTCCAGGAGGGAGAGGCAAGTGAAGCCTGGACTAAAGGAATCCAAGCTCTTAGGTGAGAAGAGGGAGCTTGTGGGGGACAGGGAGACTTCACCAGTACCCTTCTGAACTGGGTCACAAGTACAAATACTGTTTAATCAAAACAGGCATAAAATAAAAAGAAAACGGAGAACAGCGATCATTAAGTGAGTGTAACACTACCTGAACATAGGATGATTTTATAATCAGTAGCTCTTTGGGTAGAAAAGTGAGAGAACTGGGTATATTATTGGTATGTAAAAACAAACAATAAAGATACCACAGAACCACAGGATTACATAATGCAAAGATAAGGTCTGCTGTACCACTGACAGCCTCCGTAAGTTTCCCACATGGAAGACTTCTTTTTCAAAGTAAAAATGATAGTCATTATCTGCTTAGCATTACCAGCTGTGCAAGATATTAACCTGACCACTACATTAAAACTTTGAGACAATAAAACAAATATCAAAAGTCATTAATGACCTCTTTAATAATTGATGTTTTTATCATTTATGGCTTATTGAAGTTATTTTGTCACATAAATGTTCAATTTTTGAAAATCTTATGGAAAAAAAATTAATTGCTAAGAAAGTTAAGACCTTATAGAAAAACAGAAACCCAGTGAAGTTGCTCAGTCGTGTCAGACTCTTTGTGACCCCATGGACTATAGCCTACCAGGCTCCTCCATTCATGGAATTTCCCAGGCAAGAAAACTGGAGTGGGTTGCCATTTCCTTCTCCAGGGGATCTTCCCAATGCAGGGATCAAACCCAGGTCTCCCACATTACAGGCAGACACTTTACCATCTGAGCCACCAGGGAAGCCCAGAAAAACAGTTAAGGGCATTAGAAATATCTTTAGGTTTATAAACATAAACAATTAAAACAGCATATTAAATTAAGGTAAACCTGTAATATTTTCCACTTAAAGACTATATTATAAAATTTCCATTTTCCATCACCTGCACTTCAGAAATCTTTCAAGAATCTCCCTCTCAAGCAACCCCACTGCCCACATCCAGCAGTGTCAGCAATACGGTGATGCTTAAAAATCTGTTTTCCTTGCAGATAGTAGAGTTTTGTGCGTCAGTTTGGTCAGATGGCAGTACCCAGTTATGTAATCAAACAGTAACCCAGGTTTCGCTGAAGGTGTTTTACAGATGCGGCCAACACCTACAATCAGCTGACTTTAAATAAAGGAGATTACTGTCAGTACTGAGAATGGCGTTTGACCAAACCAAAGGACTTAACTGCAAAAACTGAGCTATGCTCGAGAAGTTCTTCCTCAAGACTGGAGTATTAACTCCTGTCTGAGTTTCCAGCCTACAGGTTCCAACATGCCACCCCAACAATCATGTAAGCCAAGTCCTTGGGGGAAACACACACACACAGACAGACACACACAGCAGACAGACACACACACATACAGACACACAGACACATGCACAGAAACACACAGACACACACAGAAACACACACAAAGACACAGACACACACACAGACACACACACAGAAACACAAAACACACAGACACACACACACACAGAAACACACAGACACAGACACACACACACACACCCCTCTGTTTTTCTTGTGATCCTAACTGATAAATGCACGTTCAGAGAGACATCGTATGCGTAGTTCTCAGGCCCAGCACTATATCCCTTTCTGATTTAATGATCCTACTTCTCTCAGCCCCATCCACACATATCTCAGCTCCCACCCTCCTCATGGAACCCACCAAATAAAATTCTTGGGACTGAGTTTCCTTTTCCAGCTTTTTATTGAACAATATCCACACCTCTGTACCCTCTAGGCCCTTTTTTTTCTAAAGATTAGAAAACAACAGTAATGAAAGTAAGTGGCATAAGCTAGGATCAAAATTCTCCAAATATACACATAATATATACATATGTGCATTTGCATATATAAATTCCTGCATTAGAGAGACTTTAGATTGCAAAAGACTATCTACAGTGTCATAGTTCTTTAAATGTATGTTTTTAGAAGTAAGGTACATTTTAAGCTGGGATTTTTGTTCCAATATAAAGCTCAGAAATGTTTCTGTGCAATTAGAACTGCAATTGGGAAATAAAAGTTAAACAAAAAATATAATTTCATTTTCAGAAATCAAATTCTAAATCCATAACAAGAATATGCTTATTTTGAAATCCAAACATCCTTATTCATGAATGACTTGTTTTTAATGATGAAGTACAGTGACTTTCCTGGTGGTCCGGTGGCTAAGACTCCAGGCTCCCAGTGCAGGGGCCCCAGGTTCAATCCCTAGTCAGGGAACTGGATCCCACATGCCACAACTAAGAGTTCACATGCAGCATGAAAAAAACCCACATGCCACAGCAGAGACCGAAGATCTCACGTGCTACAAATAAGAACTGGTGAAGTCAAACAAATTAATTAATTAAATATTTTTAATGATGAAATATATAAACTGATCCAGAGTTATAGAATAATTATCTAGTTATATATTTCAACAGTTTTTTTTTAAATGTTAAACTCTCAAGGTACTCGGGTTCCTTAAAATTAAAACATTCAATGCTTAAATAGTCAACTAGTATCAATATCTATTAACTTAGCCTTATAAATGAATTAAATATTCATTTATACTAATATTAAATATAAATTATATTTAATATTTATATTATAAATAATATATAATAATATAAATTATATTTATTAAATATAAATCAAATATTCATATATAGAGAAACATATTTTAAATATTTCAATATAATCACATCCTCACCTCCCACATCAACCTGTAATCCATATTTTCATCCAAATCTTCAGGCATTCTCTTCTCTCCAGCAAATGGTCCAAACTTTTCACCCTGAGTAGTAATGATTATATGGAAAATGAATTAGTACAATAATCATGATACAAAAATAAACTATTATTTCTCTTCTGGAAAAATTTTTTCTCTAAATCTCCTGCCCAATGATTGAAACACATTTAAAATATTAAGTAATTTACCCAACAGAATATATTTACATATCTAAAATCCAACTTAATCTATTTTTAGCCAAAGAGCATGAAACCACAACACAAGCAGCCAACACAAAAGGGTTAAATTGCTCAACATTTACATTCTGACAAGACTGTGAACATCATACTTTACTGTTTCAAACTTCTGCAGCCATGAGAAGCAGAGACTTGCCTAGCTTGAGAGACAAGCCTACCAGGCAGAAAATCACCTGATTTCCATAAAAACCATAAATTCATCCCAATTATGAACAGAAAGAAGTAGGCTTGCCATTCTCAAAGGAAGACTTTTCATAAATAAAGCTTAAATTCTCCTGCCAATCCTTCAACCAACCAAGGAGGCACTCCATGAACCCGGGCTTCTCCAAAGATGAGCTTTGAATCACCGTCAAGAGATTCATTCAGCAGGGTCGCTTGTTTCAAGTTCAGAATCCTGAGCTTATTAAAATCAGAATCTCTGGGAGTGGGATGTTGGAAGCTGTGTACAGACAAATTCCCAGGTAAGAACCGCTGGCGAAACCAGGAGTGGCCCCAACAAGAAGGCATCTGTGAGGCAGGGTGGATGGTGAGCAACACTGCCTTCACAACTGAGGCCATCAAGCAGGGGCTGGAGGTACTGGGAGCGGGGTCGTGCTTGTCCAGCCAGGCGTGCCACAGACATGGTGCAGAGAAGACACGGATTCCGCGTGTCCTTGTGAGCCTCCCCCAAACCTCCCATGACTACCCTACAGCAGAACCCTCGCCTCCATATGGACATGGCGGAGCTCCTCATGAACACTGTGAAGGGGGGGAACCACCAAAATAGTGTTTCAAGGACTACAAATGACTGAATGAACAGAAAAACGCAACTCCTGGCAACAGTTAAGTGTTAAAGCTTAAAGGAAGTACAACTAGCTAACCCAGTTCCCTGGTGGCTCAGTGGTGAAGAATCTGCCTGCCAATGCAGGAGGCGGGAGTTCAATCCCTGGGTCTGGAAGATCCCCTGGAGAAGAAAATGGCAACCCACTCCAGGATTCCGGCCTGGGGAGTCCCACGGGCACAGGGGCCTGGCGGGCTGCAGCGCACGGGGCAGCAGAGAGTCAGACACGACTGAGCGACTGACCAGCGACAACCACCCAGGCCCTCACCTGACAAAGGAGAGAGGCTCTGAGAGGTGACAAGCAACAGCAGAGTCTGGGAGATCCACTGCTGAATTTTAACTAGGAGGCAGAAAACGCTAGAAAGACTCCTGAAATCAAAACTATAGTCCTAAATAAACCAGAAACAAGCACACCAATAGGCAGACTGCTATTTGGCTATTTCAGCCAACCTTGAAGACAGAAACCAAGTATTAAGGTGTGCTTTGGGCAACAAAGTTGAGGATTTGGTATTAATGCATATATAGTTCAACTTTTTACTCCACTTCGTCCTATATTTAGCCTTCAGCAACTGCTGCAAAAGAAAACCATCTGAGGACACTCTTTCCAAAGAGATGTACCCATGCCAGTCAGTTCCCCTCCATGGCACAAATCTACAGAAAACAGAAAAGTGTGTTGAGCAATTAAGCAGAGTTCAAACGCCTGAAAAGAGACAGAAACCCAAGTAAATGACTGGGGCTGGGGGGAAAACACCTGCTTAGATGCAGATCTAGTAAGATTATACTAAAGTTCTTAAGCTTTGAAAACTCAAATTAAGAATCAGGAATGCGAGTTTAAAGCTTTGCTACTAATAGTGAGTAATCACTTTGTCATAAAATCAAACTACCAAACTATAATAAACATGGCTTTCAAATTTTTTACTCAAGCCAAGAAATACATTCTGCATCTCATTCTAGTATATTCACATATACACACCTGACCCTTAACACAGTTTGAACTGCATGGGTCCACTTAAACATGGATATTTTAATCACATCATCCTGGTCGGTCGAATCCACAGGTGTGGAAGAACTGCAGATGTGGAGGGCCAACTATATTTTAAGTGTGGATTAACTCCCACGTTGTTCAAAGGTCAACTGTACACACAAACACACACTTTAAAAACTAAAATGTAAACTTCTTGAAATAATACTGCCCTTACTCTATACAATGTATTTCATATTTTCTACTCAATTTTACTTCACTTTTGAAAAAAACACTAGTTTTGACAGAAGTGAATAATCAAATTAATTTCACAACACATCAATGGGCTGCAATTCAATTTGAAATACACTGACATAAAATTCAGATAGAGGCAATAAATTTATATTTAGCTCTCTGTATTTGGTAAAATTGCCTTCAAAGCACCCTAGTGAGTATACTGGAATGATGTGATCAAATAAACTTGAGTTTCTGTGGCTGCAAGATAATAAAATATCAATATTTAACTCTTAGCTATCCATATATTTGTGGTAAGAAACACTGAAGATAATTAAAACAATTTATATCAGGCTTTTGATGAAGTTTTTATACTTACTGGACCCACTCTTAGATTCCTCTAAAGAACCCAGCACCTGCGATCCAGCCCCGTCCTCTCTCTGTCCACTGTCATTTCTACTACCCCAGCAGTACTTTCTCATCATCGTAATTTTAATGTATACACAGCTTTATTCACTAACCATTTTCTATGATCCTTCTAAGAATAAGCCTCTCCTACCTCAGCAGGCTTCAAACTTGCTTGGGTAATGTACCAATGGAAGGATGATTTAGGACGCTCACTCCATATACATAGAACTTTTTTCTTTTGGTTGAACTGTATCAAATTGCTAATATTTGACCATTTTTGATACATGAAAATTTCACAGGATTCATCATAATATAAATTATTTATGCATGTGTGTTTTCAGTTGCTCTTTGCAACCCCATGGACCATAGCCCACCAGACTCCTCTGTCCCTGGGATTTCCCAGGCAATACTGCAGTGGGTTACCATTCCCTTCTCTAGGGGATCTTTCTGATCAGGTGCATGAGCCTATTCAACACCTAACATGAGGTTCATAATTAATGACTAGAAGGAAAGCAACATTTCAAACTATCTCCTTGAAAATTTCAAAAATTTCTAGCTGACTTCTTGTCATCATCGGTTTTACTTTGTGATTTAGCTTTTGAAGATCTCATACTACCAGCAAAAAAAACTATCAACTCTACCATTTTCTTGCTGTTCATGTGTCTACCTCCATATTACTACCTTCAACCTGTGACTATATTCAAGAAATCTTCCTAGAATTCCTTGCTTCCAACTATCTAACCCAAATGCTTACAGAATGAGGCGGGAAAGCAGCACAACATCAGACAAAACTATATACAGGATACAGCAGGGAGTGGCCAGGAAGGGAGGTGGAGGGACATGCACATTTATAAAGCTTTTCAACTCCAACTGAACATTTTCAATTCCAACTGAATATTTTAGTGAAACTGACAATTTAAATTTGTATATGAAATCAGTATTTTATATATATATATATATATATATATATAGGCAATGAATTTCAAGTTTCCAAAATTCTATGTAGATCAAATAAAATGTGACTGTAAGACAAGTTCAACCTGCGGACACCAAATTGTCCCAAGTCAAACTCACTTCTCAGACTGGCTCAATGCTGAGACTACAACAGTGCTTCTTTGCTCTTTCTAAACAATGCAGATAAATATCCATTCAACTTGGGACCCACCAGACTAGACAATAACTTTTAATAAAAAAGTGTGACTGAAAACATGTGGGCCATTTTCTGTCATTTTGAGTAATATTATTAGCAAGAACGTGAAAGCAAGCTTTTACTGCAGAGCTTCACTCGGTGAGGAAAGTGCTGAGGACTCCAGAGATCTGCATCCTCACCGCTGCTCTGCCAATGACCACCTGTGACACAACAGAGCGTAACAAACTTCTGAGCTTCAGTTTCCTCGGCTATAAAGCTTGGAGCTCTAGATTTGCTGATTTCTAAGATTCCTTGTTGTTTAGTCACTCAGTCATTTCTGGCCCTTTGCAACCCCACGGACTGTAACCTGCCAGGCTCCTCTGTCCATGGGATTTTCCAGGCACGAATACTGCAATGGGTTGTCATTTCCCTCTCCACAGGATCTTCCCAACCCAGGGATCAAACCCGTGTCTCCTGCACTGGCAGGCAGATCCTTTACAACTAAAGCACCTGGGAAGTCATAGATATGGATTAGCTGATTTCTAAGATTCCTTTCAGCTTTCAAATCCTAGTGCCCATAGGCCAAATTTAGAACAATTTGAGAATCAAAGAGAACAAGAGTGTAATTGAAACATTAACAAATTCTTAAGTCCATAGTGATTGCCAGGAAGAGAAGAGAAGAATTTTTGAAACACCTCATTTGCCATAATAGCCAATAAAAAATAATAAAGAGAAAGAACTAAGCATGTTCTCTTCTTTTCAACAATAATGCTACTGCAGGATAACCAGACAGCAGTAGACGATGAAGGAAAGCTCTTCTTTACAGAGGAATCTAATTTATGAAAGGAGGAGGAACGTTCAAGTGAAATCCTCATTTTGAAATCCCTAATAATGTAACTGATTCAGGCAAAGATTTTCAAATGATGACAGTAAAATAGGTATTCATACAGTTTGAACCTACAGATTATCAGTTACATCTTTACAATGGAAAAACTGCATCAACGCAGTGTTGGTATTACTAAGAGAAAGACCATATTAGATGCCTGCTGCTAAAACACACTATGAAGTAAATCATTCCAGCCCATCATTCTCCAGTATCTGTCATAGGGACATGTGACAGGGGTGTTTGCTAAACTCTCCAGGCACCTCCAGAGGGCAAGTGGACATCCACAGACCTCTTGCCCTTGTCCAGTCTCTCACCAGGCACGTGGGGAGACCCCACCATCTAGAAGGGAGCACAAGGTGAAACATGTAAGA